TTTCCCTGGGCAGCTGGGAGAAAGGGGAAGGCACGCATGCTGCACATTTCCCCCTTGTTCCCTGATATGATAAGAGGAAGAGCAGCAGAGTTCTGGGTACACACATCTGCATCTCCCCCTTCCCTAAAGGGCATGGGGGGGGGTCTAAGATCTGGGGCTTCCCTAGACCAGGGAGGGTGTGTCAAAACTGTTCCCCATTCTAGCACTCTGAGTGCAGAAGGTGAGGGCCCCTAAGAGACCTTAAAAATACCCTGCCTCTATAGGCTTCTGTTTAAAAGCTTCCCAAGATCACAGATTCCCTGGCCTAGGGAGGTAGCTGCAACCATCAAGAGAAAAACTTTTTCTTGAACTCAGGAAGAAGCACTTGGAACTTCTTTCAGAGGGGTACCCCAAGTTCTTCTAACACAAGAGAACTTCAATTAAAAAAAATAAAATAAAACAAACTGTAATCTTGGCTAGCTGACATCTCAGTCTTAGGGTATGTCTACACTGCAGTGCTAATTCGAACTAACTTACTTCGAATTAGTTACTTTGAAATAAGCTAATTCGAAATAATGCATCTAGACCCAAAAACTATTAGAATTAGCATTTTGCTGATTCGAAATAGCGTGTCCACACTGGACTCATGCTGGGTCACATTTAAGGGCAGCTGAAACCAGTTCCAGCAGGGCATCAGTTCAGTAGTTGCTTTGTGTGGCTGCTGTCTGAGGCTATCTGAGGCTCGTGCTTAAAGGGACCCCCCTGGACAGCTAGTTCTCAGCTTTTCCACTTGCTTGCCTACCTCGCCAAGGGACAGCAAAGCGTTTTCCTCTCCACCTGCCTGCATCAGTGGTTTCCATTGGGGATGTGGCCACAGTTGGCACCATGGAGCCAGAGCTCGCCCTGGGCATGCTGCTCCAGTTTTTGGACTTGATGCTGCAAGCCTGCCAGCAATGGCTGGAGGCTGCCTGGCACCATCTGGTGCACGTCAGCCCCCTGCCTCTCCCCCTGCCTCCCTGGGGGCCATGGAGGAGCCACAGCAGCGCCTGGATGCCAGCCTGCCCCGCCGCATCTGGCGTCTGGACACCAGCAGCGACTGGTGGGACCGCATCGTCCTGGAGTGCTGGGGAGACCAACAGTGGACCCAGAACTTCAGGATGAAGAAGGACACCTTCCTGGAGCTCTGCGGTGATGGGACACTCGCATGAGGCCTGCCATCCCCCTCCAGACGTGTGTGGCCATCGCCCTGTGGAAGCTCTCCACGCCGGACAGCTACTGATCTGTCAGGAACCAGTTTGGCGTCGGGAGATCCACCATCGGAGCAGTGCTTATGCAGGTACGGCACTCACCAGCCACTGGGCTGGGGAGGTGTCGAGCTGCAAGGAGGGGATGGGTCGCCCCAGGGAAACCGGGGGGTGGAGGAGGCGAAAGTGACCTTCACGGGAGGTTTCGGTCTGTCCCAGCCGTACTACATGTCGCCCGCGGCAGCCAGGATCACAGCAGGGGTTGCTTCCAAGAGTGGGGCAGTGCCAGGGAACGAACACTCCCAACCACCCGGGTGCCCCAGTGAGTCGCGGTTTTCTGTGTCTCTCTGCAGGTGGTCAAGGCCATCAACCGGGTGCTGCTCCACAGGATGGTCTGCCTTGCCAACCCGGACGCGGTCATCGAGTGGTTCAGCGCCCTTGGCTTCCCCAATTGCGGGGGGGGGCCATCAATGGGACGCACATCCCCATCCGTGCCCTGGAACACCAGGCCTCCCTGTATATCAACCGCAAGGGTTACTTCACCGTGATCCTGCAGGCCATGTCTGACCACTGGGGCTAGTTCATGGACATAAATGTGGGCTGGTCCGGCAAGGCACACGGTGCCAGGGTGTTCCACAACTCTGCCGTGTGCCAGAGGCTGCACGCTGGGACCTTCTTCCCCGACTGCCACATCAGGGCCAGGGACATGGACATACCTGTCTGTCTGGTGGGGGATGCGGCCTACCCCCTACAGCCCTGGCTGATGAAGCTGTACACGGGGCACCTCAACCCTTCCTGGCAGGCCTTCAATGCCAGGCTTACCAGGGCCCGCATCGTGGTCGAGGGGGCCTTCGGCCGACTGAAAGCACACTTTAGGTGCCTCCTCACCTGCCTCGACCTCGCCGAGCACAGTATCCCTCCTGTGGTGGCAGCATGTTGTGTGCTGCACAATTTATGTGAAAGGAAGGGGGAGGCTTTCCTGTCAGCCTGGATGGCTGAGGCTGACCGCATGGCTGGTCAGTATGCACAGCCCTGCACCGCCGCTGTCCAGGAGGCCCAGCGGGGGGCTGTCCAGATCTGGGAAGCCCTGCGGGAGAGCTCCTGTGAAAGAGCTACATCATTTTTTTTCCTTTTGTTTTACCAAGATCAGACTAACACTGCTACCTTTCTATTACTTTCCATTTTATGAGAAACAATCGAATTACAGGCACAACCAGTTGTCTTGGCACAACCAAACCCTGACCCTGCTTTAAGTTATGATAAGAGGAAGCTGCATACCAAAACTGGTGGTCTTAGCTCTTACTGTTTAGGAGGAATTCTTGAACAAATGGACTCACCGACAGACAGATGCACATTTCTAAAATATATAGTAAGATTAGTACTGGCTGGAAATTTTCAGATGGAATATGTTTCCACTGGAAAATGCCCACCTGGCAGAACTGAAACATTCTAGGGGAATGTGTCTATTTTGACAAAAATCCAATGAAAATCAAACCGGTTTTCAGCAGAACCTGGTCTAGTTTCCTGCCAGCTGATCTGCCTCCAAGGGTGCAGACAGCCCCTGCAGGCCCCTGGGTGAGGTGGGAAGGGCCTGGCCCACTCCCAGAACAGGCAAGACCTTGGGTGGAAGGGCAGGGCTGAGGGCAGCTAGACCCAGGGCCAGCCTGAGCCATTTGTGTGTCCTGGGCCCCGAGAGCGCAGCGCCGCCCCCGCCCGGTTTGGCAGCCCCACACGGTGTCCCCTACAATGGGGCGCCCCAGGCAGTAGCCTGGTCAGCCCGTAGCTTGGGCTGGCTCTGGCTAGACCTCTGCACTGCCCAGAGTGCAGGGCCCTTCCCCCCCAGCTCTCAAAGCCACGTGGTTCAGCCACTCCAGCAACAATTGAAAGCACCCTGGACTCTGGCCGCTGCCACAGTAACAGTGGCAGCAGTTGGGAACCCCAGGCTCCTTTGTATCCCTGGGCCTTGGGGCAACTGCTTCCTTTGGCCCTTCCCCTTCTCTCCCCCCTGCCTGCCCACCACCGTGCCTGCCTGTCTAGTGTTCTTTTGAGCAGTTCAGGCTTCCAGACTCCCCGCTCCTCAGCAGCCCAGGCTCCCAGGGCCTCCATGCTGCTGGCTCCAAGGCAGCTTGCCAGACAGAGCCAAGGTGCCCAGGTTTTTCAAGTTCTCTGAGCTACTGGGCTGCCGGGGCTGTGAGCAGCTCAAGGAATGCTGGAAACCTTTCCAAAAGGTCAGAATGAAATGTCGTTTTGACTCTTTCCAAATGAAATTTGGGAATTGGAAAATTTCAAAATTCCTTGTTCCACTTATAAAAAAAAAAACTTCAATGGTTTTGGAATTTCCTGTGGAATGGGAATTCCTGTTTCTGTCCAGCTTTATTAATTATTATTTGTATTGCAGTAGCAATACATATAGACCCATGTTGCTAAGTGCTGTACAAATACAGAACTGGTCCTGTAGTGATGTTTAAGTGACACACATATGTTGTTTTTGTGGGGTTGAAAATCAGTGAGAACAAGACAAGCTAAAGGCCTAATCTCTCAAGCCTTTGATCACATATGTAGTAACACTGAAGTCAATAGTATTTCTCATATGAATAAAGAATACTCTGTGACTAAAGTTCATAGCATTGGTCTATAATTTTGGACAGCATCTTTCATAAAAACAAACAGTTTCCTTAAATGCTATAGAGTTACAAATACAGTTGTACTAAATGATAAAGTTAGAGTTAAATTATCAAATGAAATGTGTTTTAAAAATATCTATGTAATCTCTCATAGCCACAGATATACTTAATTTCACATTTTTTAAAATATTACAAATAATCAAGTTTGCAACAGTTTATATTCTTTTTTTACTGTGAAAATATACTTTTCATGCAGAGTTCTCAAAAAAAGGCTGGGTGGTGAGGCTGATTTTCTCCACCAGGTTACACATGCCAAAAGTCAGCATTTTTTTACGAGATATAATAAAAATTAGTGTTAGAAGGAGAAGAAAAAGAGGATTAGGCTAGTGAGTAGAGTTCTTTTTAGATGAAATTTGAAATGAGATGGCAAACCAATGAGGCAGAGAGAGAAATCTGAAAAAAAAAGTCTTTGAATGACAGAGCTGACAGTCTGTGTGAGATTCTTCTTCCTTGTCCTTGGCTTTTTACAGGCACCAGTTGTTCTGAGTCGAGATCATCATGATGTAAGTGGCACCGACAGTCCTTACAGAGAGACCTCAAACATCTATGATGGATCAGCCTTTTGTGCAGGTCAGCAGAGAAGTTGAGACATGTCTGTTTAGCCTAGGCAAACAAAAGAAATGGCTTAAAACAAGAAATTAGTTTTCATAGAACATTTTGAATGGGTTTTATTTAACCCTTTCATTCCAACTACTCAGATTTCATGGTATCTTGACATGGAGGCTTTATGGGATGTAAATATTGTAACCCCGAAGCACTGAGACCACTGAGAAAGGGAGAATGAAGTCTTCTCTACAACCTAAGCTTTAGCCCATAAGCTGTAGCCCCTAAGATCCCAGGTTCAATCCCACCTGCAAACAATCAGGGTCCCTTGGCTATACATTATACTATAGAAATGTGCATAGAACTAATTCAAGTATAAGGGCACTTGGTAATACCAATGTAAATCTAAACTAATGCCACAGAAGTTACTGGCATTATTCTAGATTTACGCTGGTGTAATTAGAAAGGTAGAACCTGCCCCAGCTGGTAGTTCATTGCAGGAGGAGTACTGGTAGTCCTAATTAGGGGCTTTAGTTTGAACTATCTAGCCCGTGCCGTGTGTAGCCGCGGGCAGGGAGTCCGAACTACCGGGCATTTAAAAAATTGCGGCACCCGGGAACATGCAAATAAAGCCCGGGATATTTTAATACCGGGCTTCATTTGCAAGTTCGAATGACTACATTAGCCACCCTAATACGAATTAGGGTGGCTAGTGAAGACATACCCCAAGCTCCTAAGCTCTCAGAGGGAATGGAGAAGCATTTAATTTCATTTCTCTCTCTCTCTCTCTTTTCAACACTGCAAAATCTGGTTGTTTATCTGAACTGGTCCATTTGAAGTCCTCTCATTACTGAATATTGACATTTTCTATGACTTTGGTCCATCTGTTTTGGTTTTGCATTAAGTGCCGTGTCCTGACAATCAGTGAGGATGGGTCATCTCAGCCCAGGAAGGTGCAGCTGAGGAAAGTGTCTTTCAGCGCTATTGATTGCTCACTTAGTGACCTTTTCCAAAGCAAAGGGCTTGCAAATTTTTGCAACACTAATTTGCTTGCCCTGGTTCCCTCCTAACCTTGTCTCTTCTCAGGCTGAGAAGAGAGTGGGAATTTTTACATATTGAGTGTACATTCCAATCCCTCTTGTCCCCAGTACCAGAAAGTTATAATTATATTAACTGGGTTATTAAAGTGACATTATGCCAGACAAAATGATGAGATAATGAAAGCTTTTTGACAGTTTTAACATGGATCAATGGCTGCATTATCTAGTTTTTACACTGAGTATATAGTACGTACCACACTGCAAGTGTGGTTCTGCTGATGTATGGATTTGTTTCTTTGGGTTGATTTTGAGCTCATAAAATCAAAGTACTTGCTCTGTTGTTCTTGAATCAAAAAACATGGGGTCTTGTTTCCACTGGGGTCTAGCCCATTATCTTCTGGCATGTGCAATTTCTTCCATGCATTCACACATCTGTGCATACTTTGATGTACTGAAATTTACATGCAAAGCTAATATTTTAGAATTGGGTACACAAGTGTTGACACTCTCTTTTCATGGGCTAATGTGTGTTCTGTGTTTGTGTGCACTTCAAAGGAAGTCATGCACTGAAAATCAGGCTTCTTATTTATTTTCTGCTTTTTTAAACTGTGATTTTAAAATAAATACATATTCTAGGTGAATTCTACAACTACTAAGCATTATAGATAAAATTCATTCCTGTACAGAGATACAGAGCAAATCCCACACGCTACCTAAACCCCATGTAAAATCTCAACATAAGACTTACTTGATGCAACAGCCTTTTTGCCGGTTCTCTGCACATGACAGAGCACTGTGAGCTTGACAGTCTGAGCTTGGGTTTGGTAACGAAAATTCCTGATTTCTAGTCCTTTGCTTTTCCACTTTATATCTAGGCTTTCAAAAGCATCAACTGATTTTGGATGCCTGTGAGACCCCAAAACTGAGGCTATCAGAATCAGTGGATATTTTAAAAAAATTGAGACCTTATCTGTGCCACAGTTTCTCTATTTGTGAAGGGAGATGACAACACCCAACTCTGACACATAACCGAGGCTTACAATTAAATAATGTGACTATCATGAAAAATGCCATGTCTATGCAAAGTCTTATCTATTGCAGTTAAGTCTTAAGACTGGTCTTTATTGGGAACTTACATCAGTCTAACTATGTTTTTGAAAGGTATGAAAAATCCACACTCCTAAGTAATGTAGTTAGGCAGACCTAACTTCCAGTGTAGATAGTGTTAGGTCAACAGAAGAATTCTGCTGTCAATTGAGCTACTATCTCATGGGGAGGTGGATCACCTATGCCGACAGCTGAGCCCCTCCTTTTGGATGTGCTGCTGTTGCAGCTTAAATGTAGACATGCCTTTCTTTACTTTTCTAGTTTTCTACATTCCCTCTTGCAGAGGTCTCTCATTTTAGATCTCTGCTTAATCAGTGTCTAAAGAGTACTACAACTCTGAGAAAGCAGAGCATATTGTGATACTGGCATGTGTTTCTTCGTGTGTAGAAGGAAAGATGATTTAAAAAAAGTCTCTTCCCTTTGCCCTCCTCAAGTATGAGGAAAAAGCAGCAAATTGCTAACAAGTATTACATGAAACAAATAAAGCATTCAAGTGCTACAGTAACTCATTTCCTTTCTTCCTAGATATGGCAGTACAGAACTTTGTAGGAGATGCAGTTAGAGGAGCAACTTGGGTTGCCTTACACAATGGTGGTGGAGTTGGTTGGTAAGGAGAACTTGATTTTGTTTGAAGGGAAATGTAGTTCTACCCAGGTGTGTGTGTGTGTGTGAGAGAGAGAGAGAGATAGAGACAGAGAGGTGTGTATGTGCTACTGCAGCAGTAAAAACCCATTATCATGGGAACAATGGGGATTTTGGTAGGGAAGGCTCAAAGGGTATGTTGATTGTGGTGTTGTATGAGTGTTTTTTTTAATTAATGTCCATATGTCAAGAAAAAGTGTTTTGGACATTGGCCATAGCATTATTTTGGAAACTTAATTTGCCAAACAAGCACAGACTGGCTTAGTCTTTTTGAACAGACCCCGTTTCTAACACTGTCTTCACACATGAAGAACTAGAGTGTTAGTGGATGGATTGTGTTTAGATTTCCCCTTAAGCTGCATTTAAATCTGTGACCTTAGGACCCCAATATAACATGCCCATGTGCTAAAGTGCAACAAAGGGTTACTGATGCAAAACAGCGCAGATATCAGCAAATATTCCCCTTCTTTCAGTTCTGACAGTGGCAAGGTAAGGACTGGTTTAACAGCAGCTCCCTTCTCACATTTGACAGAGAACCTGGGGGGATTTTTTTAAGTGAGAAGCAGAACAAGATGATTGTCATATAGAGAAAGATGGGGACATGTTTTCAAGATAAGTCTCAGAGGTCACATTCTGGTTTTGGTTACACCAGTGTAAGTCCACAGTAGCTCCCTTAAAAACTTACTCTGGACCAGTATTCCCTCTAATTTTTCCCATCCATCAGCAGAATTAATTTTGTTATTTGCACCAATGTGGAGGTGACATGCAACATGGAGGTGGTGTGCAATGCACATAGTGAAATTCATGCAGAACATGTGGGGCCAAAGGATTCTGAGTGTGGGAGGGGGCAGAGGATTGGGGTACAGAGTGTAAGGGCTCAAGCTATGGATGTGGACATTGGGGTGGGGCTGAGGCTGAGGGGCTCATGGTTTGATCAGAGGGCTGGAGTGCAGGAATGTGAGGGCTCCAGCTAGGGGTGTGGGTTTTAGGATGGGGATGGGGCTGATGCTGAGGGGATCATGGCTTGATCAGAAGGTTGGGGTGCAGGAGTGTCAGAGCTCCAGCTGGAGGTGCAGGCTCTGGGCTGGAGCAGGGGATGAGGTGCTCAGGACCGGGACAGAGGGTTGGGGTGTACGTTTGGCTGGCTATAGGATGGAACTGCGTTAAGGGGTTTGGATTGAAGAAGGATGCTCCAAGGCTACTGTGAGGAGAGAGGAATCCCCCCCCCCCCCAGTTCTCTCTCCTCACAGCAGCACCTGGGCTGGGAGGGAAAGGCACCTCTCTCCACTATGGCAGTTCCAGGAGTGGGGATGCAGGATAGGCATCCCTTCTGTGGCCCTGCCAGGTTCCAGCTGGGGCTGGGTTGGAGCTGGGAAAAGGCCACCCAGGCTGCAGTGGGGGTCTCCAGGACATTCTGGGCCCTGTCCCAATGCCCCATGGTACATTGCTTTGCATCCCAGCAACCCCTGTGCTTCTATCGGCCTTTGGTGCCATCTTCCAATGTGCTGCATGCTCTGCCTGCTTGGTCTGCGGGGATGGGTCCTGAACTGTTGAAGAAAATACCGATAGGTCTCACTAACAGGTCACGAATGGCCGTTGAGTTAACCCTTAAGCTACAAAGTGGAGTCAGACACTGATCTTGCCATGCATCATGCCTGTAACAAGAGATGTCTTGTGGCTTTCATGGAGGGGCTGACCACAGTGGAATGCCACTGTGGGGCTCATGAAACAAGCCCTGAGTGGTGGGATCACATCATAATACAAGTCTGGGAGGATGAGCTGTGGCTGCAGAACTCTCAGATGAGGAAAACCAGTTCCATGCAACCCTGGCAGAAAAAAGACTCCAGAATGAGAGGTACCTTGCTAGAGAGAAGCATGTAGTGATTGCATTGTGGAGCAGGGCACCCCATCGCGTCATGCTCCAAATGACCATGCCTCTGGGCAACATGCATGAAATTAAGTTGGAGCACCGGCTGGGGGTGCAGGCTCTGACTTTGTACAGATGGTCTTCCCTAACTGTGAAGGGGTGATAGATAGCATGCATATTCCAATTCCACCTCTGAGTACATTAATTGGAAGAGGTATTTCTCCATGGTGCTCCAGGGACTTGTGGATCATTGTGATCATTTCACGGACATTAATGTTGGTCCAGAAAGGTATATGACACATGCATCTTTTGGGACACTGGCCTGTTCAGGAAGCTGCAAGTGGGGACTCTCTTCCTGGACTAGATCATCACTGTATAGGGGAATGTCAAAATGCCCATTGTGACCCCGGGAGACATCACCCACCCCTTAATGCTGTGGGTTATGAAGCCATGCATTGGGAGCCTTGATAGCAGCAACGAGCGATTTAAAAAGGCTGAGAAAGTGCAGAATGATGGTGGAGTGTGCTTTTAGCTATTTAAAAGCCCGCTGGTGATGTTTGTACCTGAAGCTGGACTTGGCTGATGACAACGTCCTTATGCTTATAGTTGCATGCTGTACGCCTCTTAATATTTGTGAAGGGAAAGGTAAAAGCTTCACTCAGGGCTGGATCTCTGAAGCTCAGCATCTGAAGCTTGAATTTGAAGAACTTGAGACCAGGGTATGAGAGAGGCATAGCACAAGGCCGTAAAGATCAGGGATGCCTTGAGATAGCAATTTGATGCTGAAAGTCAGTAACATTTGTTGTCAAACTCAGTAGTACAGTGGCTATAATGCTAGTGAAGGCTTATGATTGGACCATATGATTCACTTAGTACAAAAGTGCTTGTTGCTTTCCTGGGGTGTGCTTGCTTGCTTTCAAGTAATGGAATAAAGATTTCTCTCAAACCCAAGAATTTAGTTTAACAACAACAAACATAGAATATACATGCAGCATGACACATCTGCACTCTGGGCAGGAAAGGGGGGGTAGGGAAGAGATGAGGGCCTGGTATGTTTACAGATTTTAAACACAAGAACTGTTCACCTATGCATCACTGACTAGTTGTACTAGGTAGGGACGTAAGCAACTAGTGACAGCCCGATAAACACATGCTTATCGAGTAGGCGAGTTGTGAGTCAACTAGTCGCTTCCCCCTCTTGCTGCCCCTATCAGAGAAAGGCAGCAAGGCAGAGGATCAGGAACCAGTGCTGTGGGGAGCTGTCTTAAAAGCACCATTTCTGCAGTGGCACAGGGGAGGCCGAGGCATAGCGGGGGCCCGAGTGTGAGTCAGGACAGCTGATTCCCAGCTTATTCCCAGTCCTCAGCACTGTGCCTCTGCCTTTTAAATGTATTAAACCCCTGGTGGCTCTTAAGACATTTAAAAGGTAGTGCCCCAGCAGAATTAGGTCCCGGGGCTGGGAGCTAACCCCATTGTGGCTCTGCAGTTTTCCCCCTTATCAAGTAATCAATTACTCGATTAGCTGATTAAACACAATTTAACATCCCTAGTACTAGGGTGAATACACATAAGACACAAGACACAAAACACAAAACGGTGAGTTAACCATTGGGGACAAGACTCACAAAATGGTGAGTTAACCATTGGGACAGGGAAATTCATTGGTGCAGGGCCTTGCCGTAGTCTGGGCAAATGTGTCTTGGGGAGAGCCAACACTGCATGGAGGGGCCATATAATCAATAATGTCCATACATTTTCCACGGTATGTATTCATCCTGGAAGATATTTCACTGAGAGCAAGAAGAGAAGCAAGGAAGGTTTTCTGCAAGAGTGCGACTTCTGTCCTGGCCCTTCTGTGGTTTGCCTATGTGCAGCAATGGTCCCCCTCCGACTCCTACAGCTCGGTGGCATGGGAATGTGACCCTTAATGGGACTGCAGCGGCAGATTGCCCAGCATCTGCACAACACTTTCAGTGAGATGTGTGAGGCTGATTACCGTGAAGTGAGAGAGTCCATGAATATCTTGTTCCACATCTGACTAGTCCTGTGTTGGTATTAGCACCACACGGACCCAAGCTCACTTTCTGCAACAGAGGGTTACTGATACAAAATAGCTCAGGTATCGGCAAATATTCTATCCCAAGCAGCTCGCTTCAGCACTTTTAGAAAGCAAAGCCACTTACCAGGCACATCCTCTGCTGTTTGTGCTTCCCCAAACTTCAGTTGCTGTGACTGGCTTCCTTCAGGGTAGAAAAAGACTCCTAACTACATGCATCTGGAGGCTGAGCCAACCTCTGGCTCTGGGTACACTTCTCCTCAGCACCCTCATCCCCGATTTCCTCTTCCTGTCTTGGTCCACTCGGGGATGGCCTTTGAGGCCCCAAAAGTATCCATGGGGATCTCCAGTGTGGAGGTGAGGTCCCCCTCAAGTATGTCATCCAGCTCTTTGTGGAATTGTCAGGTCATGGGTGCAGCATTGGAACAGTGGTTTGCTTCCTATGCCTTGTGGTAGATGTTTCACAGTGCCTTTGCTTTGACCCAGTGCTGCAGTGCATCCCGGTCATGACCCCTTTTGGTCATGTATCTCGATATCTGCCCTGTAGGTATCATAATTCCTATAGCGGGTGCACAGCCAGGACTGGACTGCCTCCTCATATCAAACACTGATGAGGTCCAGCACCTTCGCATGGCTCCATGTAGGCTATCTTGACATCAGATTACAGACGTTCACAGCCTGCATGATGCATCTTTACCAAGTGGCCCAGGGGCCCTACTTTTCTACTAGTCAGAAATGGTGGCTGGAAGCATGATAGTTGATACACAAACATTTTACCTTCTTCCCTTCCGTGGGCCTATCTAAATATCAGCATAGGTGCTTATTGAAGACTGTAGAGAGAGGCCCAATTTTCAACTCCAGTGTTCTTTGGGAAAGCCAGACTCTTTCATCACACAGGGCCAAGTCTATGCTCATGAGTAAAGCAAGCAAGAATGGTCCTAGCAAATACCCAAATGTCCCTTCCCCCCAGGCCATTTCACTAGGCTGCTGGTTTAGATATAATCTCAGCTGAGCACATGACTTTAAGTGCAGGATAGACTAT